ATATATATATATATATACAGGTGCGTCTCAATAAATTAGAATATCATCATATTATGGCTTACAGCTGCTGCAAACCCAAATTCAGGTTCTGAGAATATTAGCAGACTACATAAAACTAAAGAAAATACCATTTCAATTCAGAAATACTGAAAATAACGGGGAAGATTACAGAGTTGTTCAGCAGACAGAAGCTCACAGAGTGCTCTGTGCAAGTTCACTGATGGAAAGTTGAGTGGAAAGAAAAATTGCGGCGCTATAAAAGTTCCTTTAAATTTGGCAGAGTGACGAGGAACTGAATCCAAGATGCTTGAGTGTAAAGTTTCCAGATATTCTGGTAGTTTGGGAAGCGTGTCGCCTGCTGGTGTCAAAAAGTCCAAAACTGGCACCGATGTCTACGAGAAAACATTGGAGCGGCTCGTCCTCCCCTCTGTTGACAAGCTTTATGGAGACGCACATTTCCTCCCCTCGCTGCCAAATCAGTAGCTGATTTAATGTCAGCAAGCTGGCCTGACCAAAAGCCCAGAGTCAATCCATGAAGTGGCAATTCAAGCCCTGCATAGGACCTGGGCATAGTGTTTAGCGGGTCGGCTTTTCTGCACTAAAGGCCGTTTATGAGACTAAAACAATATTCAAGCTTTCAAATAAACAGAATTTGGGGTTTTCATCAGCTTTAAGCCATAATCATCAAAATCAACAGACAAAGAGACATCAAACAAATTCCTCTGTGTGTAATTAATCTCTAAAACCCCTGAATTTTCCCCATTTTTCAACTAAACTGCTGAAATAAATTAACTATTTGATCCCATTCTCCATCAATTAGACCGTTTACTCCTAGTTTCTTCGGAAAGCCGATGAAATATTTGGTGAGGAAAGATAAACTTCAGAGAATCTCACTGTGGGAGTTTGATGCAGAAAGTTTGAAGTGCGAGAACTCAAGTCAGAGCGCTTTGTTACACGATTGAGAGTTAAAGGCGAAAGAGGAGCTGACTTCATCCATATGAGGATCGTTATTGGAGTTTTGCGATAAAAAGGAGCGATTTATAAATACAGGAGTGTAAACCAACTGGATGTCACGTTTTAAGCTCGCTTTGTTCAAACTTAACAGAGGATTATGTTCGTTGTTATCAGAAACACCTACCTAACACAAGAAGAAACATAAAATTAAATTATTCAACTTTACAAATGAATTGCATCCTAACTAGGGAATAATAAGAACAAACATGTCACACATTAAAAGAGAAGAAGATCATATTCACAGAGGACTGTCACGACACAAGTGCACGTCTATTGAACGGATTACTTCTCGTTTCGGGCCGCGGCGCTTAGACTGAGCCCGTCGTTCCCAGTCCGTGTTTTCGTGTACCATCTGGCTGGAGAACAAACTTCCCACGTTTTCACGTGTTGCAAAGAAGTGATTTCAGTTCAGTCGGCTTAGGTGGCGAGAACGCAGGCTGGTCCGAAGCGGACGTCCGTCCCATCCAATCAGCACCGGACGAGAGCTCTCAACAAGCCGGCCATAGCCAGTAGCAGGGCTGTGGCTGCGGAGAGAGTCACAATGGAGTTCCAACCTACCTCACTCCCCTGAGCGGACAGACAGACAGACAGAAAGACAGAAAGCGTTAGGACATTTGGAGAAGTTTTGCGTTCACCTTCGTTCTGGTAAGAAAAAAAAAAAAAAAAAAAGGTTTTTATTTTGTGGCTTTAGGCAATCATTGTCCTGTCGGAACAAGCAAATTGTATACAAGTTTCAGCCAGCTACTACTTGGGCTCAGAGTTAGAGACAGTCCTGCTTCTTCATTTTTGCATCCGCATTACGGAGCATGTCAGTACGACTCGTATCAAAGCCCACACCATGATGCTGCCACCTCCAAACCCGACAGTGGATGCAGTGACTTTGACTCTTCCTCTTGCCAGCACAGGCAGCTGACTCAAACTTTATGTCTACTAACCGTAAAACCTTCCTGCAGACGGCAGCTGCAAATTATGGTCAAACTTAAACGTGTTGATTTTTGATCATGTTTTGTTTACTTGGTCTGCGGATCATTTCTGAACCACTACGCAAAGGCAGGTCCATACAAGACGGCATAAATGAACCACTTCATTCATGCAGGCCCAACTCTGAAAGGGACCAAACGGTTCAGAAGGTGTATATATCTGAGCATGTTAATTCTGGAGAAAATTCAGATTTGTTCACCAAAATCATGTTTTTGATTCAAAGGATTTGTTTTCCTTTTTTTTTCGCCCTGGAAAAGAAACAGCTCAGATGCATCACAAAAAGCCCAGAAAGTGTGACCTTCACACCTGGAACTGTATTCAAGGATTTCACCAGGACATTTAAAGAATAGTTCAACATCCCTAGGAAATCTGAATATTTGCTTAGGAACAGACAGGAACTCTAAATCCTGCAGGTCGTCACATTTTCAAATAGATCACAAACACCGAGGCAAATCCAGGCACATCAGACTCCACTGGCTGTGGTGAGGATCTCAACCCAGCCTCACAAAACCACTAGTTATTGTTTTCAGATTTCTGCTTGCGTACACGCTGAATAAACATGACACAACGTGGTGTTCACAACTCCGAGCGTCCAGATGCTTTTAGCTCGGCGTGAGCTGAGATGAGTGTAGCCTGGGCCGCGTCGTCGCACACTCGCTGACAGAAACTGCTCAGACGTCTTCCTCAGCTCTTAACTGAGTTTAATAGAGGTCAGGTCACAACAGCTAGAAAAATGACCTGAACCCACCACACATGAACTGGACAATACGACATGAGAGCCAAATTCATCCAGCCTGTCCAAACCTGGACATTTGTGTCAGTAAGTGTATCATAAAACATTGCCAATAGAGTGACCACCACTGCTTTTCTGTCTTTCTTAAAGCTGTGAAACATTTTTAAATAAAAAGTAGAAGAGCCTTTTATTTAGCCTATGTATATATAAGAAATTGCAAGAGCGATGGACAGGGATTTACTTTAAATTCAAAGTTGGCATTTAACATTAGCAAAATCCTTTATGAAAGTAATTACATCTCAGTTCTAAATATTAAGTCACGTTTACATCGTTGTCTGACTGATTAGAAACTGCATAAAAAATACACTTTTTAATAAAATAAATGAGAACAGTTATGAGCATTTGTTTTAATCTATTCCTATGGATATTTAAATGTTCATCTTGTCTATTTGGTGAACTTTGATACGCCACAAAGTCTCTAGAATCTTTGCTGAAGAGAGTAATGCACAGTTTATAGTTTATGAGGAGCACCTGCAGCCCTCTTACAGTCTTTTTTTGATGCCATCTTTTCACTTAAACACAAAATAAATGTTTACGAGTTCATGTTTGTAACTGGAGACGATGCAGATGCGCCTCAAAGAGGACGGCACTTATACCGAATGCAATAAAAGCTCCTGTTGCATCGTGCAACAGTTAAAACGATCAAAATAACGGCGATTACAAACCCTTGTTGTGACTGATAATATCATCATTTTTGACTTTTCTGATCTAAAACTCGAAAGGGCATTTTGCAATTTAGAGGGCCTTCTAGTTCTGATTTGTCAAACTGCCCACCCGTCCTGTCGTGTTGAGCTTGCGTCATAAAACTGAATCCTAACATTTTTGATTTGCTGGATTAAGATTAGAATATTTCAAATGTGCAGAACAAATTCAAATCACAGTCTTTCAAAAATCTGTAAACGTTGAATCAGTTGCACCTAAAATTATTCAACCACCACTGCGAATTGTTTGTAACAAGGTGTTTTAATTAATTAAACAGACATAGCATTTGACATTTTATAATAATAATAATAGTAAAGATTATTCCCTGGCACAAACAGGGGAAAGGAGGACACAACAAGTTGGCAAAGGCCTTGAATTTTAGTTTTTAAGGTTAAACTTAAAGGAATAGTGCCTACATCACCTGGAATCAAGATGGATTCAGTTTCAAGAAATCCTGGTTGGAAAATGTCTGAGGACGCTAAAGCTTGAGCCTCCCAAGCAACAACGGTTACTGCAGACAGCCGTAAGCTTGTATATTTAGCAAATAAATACGATTTGCAGAAGCGATTTGTCTCATTTTCGTAAAACTGTTTTAAAACTTTTTGCTTAAAGATTAGAATCCTCCTCTTTTTTTGCCACAATTTAGTCATTTCTTTACTTAATTAGGTACTTAGCTAGTTTGCTTAACACTATTGGAAGATTTTCTATGAAGCATCTCAAGTGATGTTTTGTTAGGAATGTCCAGATTAGCAAAAACAAAAACAAAAAAAAAACAAAAAACAAAACAATGCATCAGGTGGAGATGAGCTCCTGCCATACCTTGCTCTCTGGGACGCCAGCTCCGACAACCAGCACCAGACCACAGCCACAATTATAATCATTCCTACGAAGGGGATGGAGAGAACAGGGTGCTCAGATGGATGGATGAATCTCTGAGGAGGGAACAGAAAACAAAACACAAGGACCGTGGAGGTGACGGGGGTGAATGAATGGATGAACTGATAGAAACAAAATAAATAATACACACTCCAGAACAAACACATACACACACACACAAAAAAATGAGACATGGTCTAATGCTGGGATTTACACGGGGAAGGACAGCGATGGAGCAATTTAAACGTCCCATAAAGCAGACAACGAGTAACTTTATGAGGAAAGAAGCATTAAGTCGAGATGAGAATGTGTGCTCGGGATTTGCGCGGCATTCGTTGTCAAGCGAGTGTGATGGTTTGAGTGGCCCGGAAACAGAAAGACGAAACGATGTGAGGGGGACGGTTCGGAGGCGTTTCATTCTCTCTATCCTCGTTATGCCGCTAATTTGCCGTCTGACAGGCTGAGAGGTCATGGACATTCAGAGAACAAGGACAGCGTCAGAGACAGGCACGGGCAGACAGCTTGACACGACGCAGACACACCGCTTCACTGCTGCTGAAGACAAAACATGAGGTTTTGTTTTTCGGCCTGTTTTTGTTTCGTCTTTGAGCGCTGATGGATTCAGTTTTTACCTAATTGGTCCCAGATTTAGAAGACAAATAAATATCAAAAGCAAGAAACGGAAAGGAAACGTGTGTTTGGTTGTTTATTTCTTTGTTGTAAGCTTGCTGAGCCACGTAGAGCTTAGTATGTAGTTTGCCGACAAGAAGATTTCTCCTCTCTCAAAAGGCCAAATGGCTTTTGGTTGGTCATTGTGGTCACTGTTTGTTCAGAGATTAAACTGTCTCATGACCAATATGACTCGTTTCTTTAAACTTCAGTATCCCCATCTAGTAAACATGACCAAATAGCAGAATGAGCTTAAGTAATTAGTTTTCCTTTCGGCTCAGTTTGAAGCAGGGACATCCAAACTGCAGGCTGAGGGTCGTTTGTAGCCGTTTGTGTAACTTTCCAACAAAATACTACTATCTCAGCCTGCAGAAGATCGTGTTCAAGACAAAGTACTTGTCTTTGTTCACACTTTATGCTTTCATTGGATGTTTGTGGCTGGACTACAAAAAACCTTTACTCAAAAGTTTGCAGACTTCAGCGCACACAGTGACTGCATTTAGCTAAATATTGCAAGCCTTTTGAGAGTAGACGAAAATATTTCTCCACCGTTCAAATCATACTATAGGAGATTCTGTCATTTAATAAGAAAAACGTAGAATAAGTATGTGCTAAATGATTCCTCTTCTACAAAGATTTGAGTGCTTTGTCTCTTTTAATAAAATGGGGTGTGAAAATTGAGCAGCTAAATGTAAAAAAAAATTTTTTTTTTGCAATTTCAATTTCATTGTATAAAAATGTGAATTTTTGGACTGGAAGGTAAATGTTTTTTTTAAAGGAAATAAAGATTAATCATGGAATAACATTTATTTCTATTAAGCTATAATAAAAATAGAAATAATTTATTTTTCTATGTCTTTGCTCAACAGTATAAAGGAAAAATCGGGCATCGGTTTGTAGCATCAGTGCACTACAAGCTTTTTGTTATGGAAAACTCAACATCCCCACCCTCTGGATGGGGATTATTATGGAAATAAGACTGCATTTGACTTATATATATATATATATATATATATATATATATATATATATATATATATATATATATATATATATATATATATTATATAAATGTGAGAGATATATATA